GCCAGGTTGGCACAATAAACTAACTACCTCACTTGGGCTGATTCTCTCTGTGTGAGAGGATTAAGATAGAGAGGGTCAGTCTGAACAAGAGCTAGACTTCCCATGGGATTAAGGGGTTAAGCCCAGGAGGAAGGCTGAGGCCAGGGGTGAAGCTCGCGTGGGGTCAGGCCTGGTCCTCCCAGTGCCCGGGAACCCAGGCATTGTGTTCACGAGTGTGTTCAATCCTGGCTCTCCCCTGACTGGCTGAGTGGGTCTTGAGCAGGGTCCCTCGCTTCTTCCCAATCTTTATGTCAGTCTCCCCTCCTCAGTGAGGTTTTCCCTGAGCGCCCGACCCCATACCATAATCTGCTCCCTACTTACCACACCCTTACTGGCTTCTGACCAACGGTGTGATTTCCTTGTTGAAATGACTTTTGCTTGTTGTTTGCCTTTCCCCACTAGAAGGCAGCCCCGCAGGAACAAGTCTCCATTGGGTTCCCTGGTTCCTAGGACAGCGCTTGGCGGTGGATGTTGTGAGTTGCTATTCTGACTCACAGTGGCCTTATGACACCTGACAAGACGCAGCATCGCCTGATCCTGTGCCAAGGACCCACGGACTGGTTGTTAAACAAGTGACTAAAGTTACCGAGCCTCTCTGAGCTGAGAGAGATCTCATTTGAAAAGTGAGGATGGTCTTAGGGATGCTGCCCCTGTCCAGAGCGTCACACCAGGCTCCGAAAAAGCATTCAGCGAGTGACAGCTCCGGTTACCCATCGACAAAGTGGGGATTAAAGCATTCTGTCGGGTTTTGCTGAAGAGTCTTCGGGTTAAGTCAGACGAAGCATGCAGGACAGCCATTGCTCGGTACCTTTGGCCACCATCCGTGTGAGTTAAATTATATGGTCTTAGCTGATCCCTTTTGGATTTATCTTTTTACTGAGTTCAAGGTGGAGCTGAACGTGACATTGGGGTCAAATGACTGGATCTTTGGCTAGGTCTGTCTGATCCCTGAAGCCCAAAGATGTAAGCAGACAAAAATCTGCCTTGATTTCAAGCTTTCC